GCTTGTTAGATTTTAGTCAAAATTGCTTGTTGGATTTTTTTGGTCTACGCTGAGCATTTGATTTGTAAATGTGTCGAGGTTAGTGAAGATGGGTTCCTAATTTTTTTGGTCCGCCGCTGAGCATTTGATTTTTTTTGGTCCGACGCTGGATTTTTTTGGTCTGCGCTTGAGCAAAAATTCCAACCTGAATTTCCTAATCCTGCTTGCTGTTTGTGAAGATGGGTTCTAAAGCCGAGTTGTTCAAATTTTAGTCACCCTTAGTTCCTGATTTTAGTCAAAACCCTTAGTTCCTGTTTAATGAGTTATACATGAGGATCACCCTTAGTTCCTGATTTCCTAATCCTGCTTGCTGCTTGTTGTTTGTTCTTGATGTGTTGGTTTGGCTGATGTTCTACATTCAACCTTAGTTCCTGATTTTTTGGCCGAATGTGGTTATATCATGCCTGTGCTTTCATTTTTTATAGTTTAGGTGATTGCCTTGTTTATGAATGTGTGGATTGCGTTTAACAGCATATTTGTTTTACCCCGACAAGTTGTATCAATATGAATTAGATCCTACGTCCATGGTTGAATTAGATCCTACGTCCATGGCAAGTTAGAATAGTGTTTATTTTTTTGCACAGTGGCCTTTGATGGTTTGTTCTTGATGTTTATTTTTGTAGGTAAAAATTGTTCTTGATGTTTGATCCAATGGAAACTAAAGATGGTTACTCCCATGTTTTTGATGAAAAAATCTCTCAGTTAGATAACTTAGTTGTGCCAATTGTTGATGAGCACTTAAAACCAAAAATAGGAATGACTTTCGACAATTTAGAAGAAGCTGAAAAATTCTACAAAAATTACGGAAAGGTCGGAGGTTTTGATATCCGTAATAGCACAACAAATTATGGGAAGGATAGAGAGTTAATTTCCAAAAGTTATGTTTGTTCGAAAGAAGGAGTGTTAAAGAGCAAATCGATGGAAATTCGACGATGTGGTACAATTAGAACAAATTGTAAGGCCGGAGGTTTTGATATCCGTAATAGCACAACAAATTATGGGAAGGATAGAGAATTAATTGGCAAAAGTTTTGTTTGTTCGAAAGAAGGAGTGTTAAAGAGCAAATCGTTGGAAATTCGACGATGTGGTACAATTAGAACAAATTGTAAGGCCTTGATTCGCTTCAAATTAGACAAAAACATTGGCATATGGAGTGTCTACAAGTTCGTGGAAGAACATAATCATACAATTACTTCACCGAGTAGAACACATTTTCTAAGGGGAAACCGTGAGGTAACAAGTGCAAAGAAGACATTAATTAAGCAGTTTGGAGAGGTGAACATTCCAACAAACAAGCAAATGGCCTTCTTTGAAAACTCTAGCGGAGGTTTTCATAGAATTGGATGCATTGAGACCGATGTGAGAAATTATGAAAGAGATTTGAGAGAGGAGAGGCGCGGTCATGATGCACAAATGATGTTGGATCATTTCAAGTCGGAACAAGAGAAGAATCCTTTATTTTATTATGTTTATGAAGTTGATGAAGAGAAGCGCTTAACTCATTGTTTTTGGGTGGATGGCATTGCTCGAATGAATTATCAACACTTTGGCGATGTTGTCTCCTTCGATGCCACGCATAACACAAATCAATATGGCTTGGTATTTGTGCCGTTTGTAGGCATAAATCACCATTGGCAAAGTGTTTTTTTAGGATGTGGCTTGATCCCAAACGAAGAGGCGAAGTCTTTTGTATGGTTGTTTAACAAATGGATTGAAGCAATGGGTCATCCTCCTTCGGGTATGATTACAGATCAATGTCTTGGCATATGTAAGGCAATTGAAACAGTTTTTCCAGAAATTCGGCATAGGTTTTGCATTTGGCATATCTTGGACAAAGTTCCGGAGAAGTTGGGTCAATGGGCTTATAGAACGGAATTTATGAAATCTTTCAAAGAAAATATTTGGGACTCCGACGATGCTAGCTCTTTTGAAGAGAAATGGGATTCTTAAGAAAAATGGATTGGAAACGCATGATTGGCTAAATGATATCTATAAAATTCGTGAAAAATGGGCTCCGGTTTATCATAAAAAACACTTTTGGGCCGGAATGTCTAGCAGTCAAAGAAGTGAAGGGATGAATGCAATACTAAAAAAACATATATCAAGGAAAAATTCACTTCATGATTTCGTGACCATCTTTCAGAGGGTCTTGGCGAGACAAAGAGAGGGGGAGCTTAAAGAAGATCATTGCACAGTAGAGAAAAAGCCAAAATTAAAGACTTTATGGTCAATGGAAAAACAAATGGCCCAAATCTACACGAAAAAAATCTTTTATATTTTTCAAGACGAGCTTCAACCTAGCTTAATGTATAACATTGAGCTAGTAAAAGAAAATGAAAGAGAAAGTACTTTCCAATTAAATTTTTGTGGTCATGATGAAAGATTGAGACATATTATATATTGCAAAACAACTAAAATGGTCCGTTGTTCGTGTTTCATGTTTGAATTCAAGGGCATTCCATGCCGACATATCTTGGCATATCTTAAAATTACCAATCATAGTGAGTTACCGGAGCAATATATTCTAAAAAGATGGTGCCGAAATGTCAGAAAAAGGGTTGTTCTTAGAGATGGTAATATTATTGGAGATAATGCCACAATTAATTTTGCTTCTCGTTTTAGTGAACTAAATTGCTTAGCTAATGAAATGGTCGAAGAGGGGCTATCTTCTAATGATGCATATGAATTAATGCGTGAAATGATGATGGATGCTATTAATAAGGTGCAACGTTTGAAACTCATCAATGATGAAGAAATTGGACAAGATGTGGATGAGGAGTGTTCTCAAGATATAGTTCATGAACCAAGTCAAGCAAGAACAAAAGGAAGGCCTAAAGGGAAGAGGTTAAAGCCATCGAGAGAGATCCGTAGATGCCGGCCTAGGAAATGCAAATTGTGTGGAAAGCGAGGACAAAATCATGATAGCAGAAATTGCCCTCTAAAGTTGTCAAGGTAGTGTATCATTTGTTTTAGTAATACTAAAGTTATTATTTCTTTAAACTTTTTTTAAGTTGGTGCGATGATCTTTAATATGTTTTGCTATAATCAATTTTTTTTATAGTGATTCAATGGAACAAGATAACATTGATGAAGCCACGGATGATTTAGAAGATTCATTTGAGGAAGGTAATGGTTAATACATACGGAATAACTTGCACATTGCCATTTGTATTATATAATGTGATTTTTTAACGTGATGAAATCATTTGTTTTTTAATTTTTTTAATACAGATGAAGTTCTCACTATTGCGTGAAGTTTAATTAAGGTTGGCAGAGCAAATCATATCACTATTGGTGAGAAGGGGTTGATGAAGACAGAGCACCAATGGGTTTAAGTCCATTTCATTGTTTAGTAGTTAAGTCCATTTTATTGTTTAATAGTGAATGATGTTTCATCTTTTGGTGGTTCTGTTGCTGACTTTGTGATGAAAGATTGAGACACTATTGCTTATTTTCTCTGTATTGATCAAGGTTGGATAGTTATGGTGCATCATGCAGAGGTTTGCACTGTGAAGTTTGCTTTTATGTCATGATGCTTTGTTAATAGCTTTTTTGATTGGCTGCTAGTGTAATTTCGCAAATGTCGGATGATTTAACTGCTGCTGCTGCTGCATTTAACTGCTGCTGCTGCATGTTGTAGTTGCATTTAACTGCTGCTGCATGTTGTACTTGCTTGATCTTGGGTAAAAGGCAAGCAGGGGCCAGCCTCGGATTGTATGGCTATGTTACATAGTATGTTGTTGTGACTTGTAAAGGATGTCGTCAATGTGTAAGTCACTGATAAACTATGATGCACGTACGTTTCACTGCTTGCTTGCGATGAACTTAATACTTGCCCGTTCATTTACACACGTAAGACTGCTAATTGCCCGGGATATACTTGCAACATCAGTGGATTTTTTGGCACGAGGTGTTAGCAAAAGCATAACAGGAGGATATTGCTGGCTCGCTCTTAGAACACGCTTCGACCATCCGAAATCATCTTTGTAACCAACCAGTTAATCTGCCACTTTAGGACTGCTAGCTTCTTTCCATTCCCTTTGACGCTTGTTATGCAGCTTCATTGCTGCTCGGCTTCAAATTGGCAGCCTGGAAATTCTAAGTTAAACTAGTCGTTGGTGCCAACTAGGAAAGGATTTAACCCTTCACCACATGACAGTGTGCTTTCTTATCTTATACCTTGTCCTAAGGGAACATAATTTATGGTATTCTGTTCTGTGCGCTAATTGATATATAACTGCATTGATAATATACTACTCATCCACAAAATTATTACCATTGATAAGCATTGGTCGAATTAGTACACATGTAGAGAACAGAGAACATACACTTCAACATAAACCTAGTTTGCATTTAGTACACATGCAGAGAACATACACTTCAACAAATCCATTAATACATTCTTACACCTTACTTAGCAGAAATCCAATAAAAATACCAAATACAAATCCGAAAAAAATACCAAATAAAAAAGCAAATACAGCAAGCTTCAACAAATCCATAATATCAAGGGAAAGCTTTCTCCTTTCCCACACTTCCCCACTTGTCACGGCTCTTGAAACTTGTGGCGTCACGCTCGACTGATTCGTCTGAACAAGCTCTGCCTTTGAACCTTCAAACTCCTCTTCATCAGACACCCATTTGAAGAATCCACAATTACTCTCTCTCCAATTCGCGCATCCCAAAAACAATCGACCGGGGTTCCCCTTAGTTCCAGATCTGGAGAGTATAGCCCTCCTTCCACAATGGCACAACAGTCCACGACGATTGCTTGAAGATGACTCCATGATCCACGGCTACAGATACAAAAGTTTAACCAGACAATCATATTAAAGAGCAAATTAGAATATGTGCATCCATATGAAGTTATAGCCAGGTCTACATTCATCCAGATCAAATAGCTTATAATCATTTTTAAAGTAATTTTTTGTTCTTGCATCTAATCATAAAAGAGCATGGACTCTATGCGGGCTCCTATAACTTCCCAAATAGATCTTGATCAATGACATACAAAATTGATTGCATGAATACATCCAACATGCAGTTGCCTCTTATTTGTCAGTTGAGTTTTGGAAAACAATGCACAGATGGAGTTTACGCAAGATTTTAGAGTCATACTTGTTAGGAACGTCTAGTGCCATTGGTTTCTTCCTCTCGAAAGCCACAAGCTCTTAACATTTTTTCGGGGTAGATTTGCACCGTAGCATATACAAAAGTTTAACCAGGCAATAAGCAATCGATGATAGATTAAATACACTACGAGTCATATATAGAATATGAAATCCATCAACTTAGAAAGAAAATAATACTCTTTGATATTGCAAAAGCTTCAAATTCTCCCATTCAACCTCAAATAACAAAAGGAGTCAGGTGGATAAATGGAGAATGCTGATACCCTAAGAGACAGCAGTTCTAGAATTTCGATATAACTATAGCTAGAGCTTAATAAACTTATCAAACACAAACAGATCCACATCAAAATCAAAATACCTCATATTACAGAACAAGATTTCCACAAACTTTACCTTGGATTGTGAAAAGGCCCAACTTTGTTGGCATACAAAGGAACATGCTCCCCCTCCTTAAACTTGTGATTATCTCCTTCAACTCCTAACCCTAGCCCAATCAACACAACAAACAGAACAAATCCCCCGATCTTCCTAATCTCGACAAATCTATGGTTCTCAAACAGGCAAATTGAAATCCACAGATGAAAACCAACGGTGGCAGAAGCCCTAAATCAAGCAAGAAGATGAAAACGAACCTGATTCAAGGAAGAGGGTTCGGGTTCTGCGGAGCTCGACGGCGAGAGGGCGTCGGCGCTGCTCGACGGCGAGAAGGTTTGGGTTCTGCGGAGCTCGACGGCGAGAACAGAGGGAGCAGGATCTGGGGTCGGAGGAGAGGGTTTGGGTTCTCGACTCGATTCCACACGTGGTCGGCGCTGCGGTCGGAGGAGAGGGTTTAGGGTCGGCGCTGCGGTCGGAGGAGAGGGATCTGGGGGTCGGAGGAGAGGGTTTGGGTTCTCGACTCGATTCCACACGTGGTCGGCGCTGCGGTCGGAGGAGAGGGTTTAGGGTCGGCGCTGCGGTCGGAGGAGAGGGATCTGGGGGTCGGAGGAGAGGGTTTGGGTTCTCGACTCGATTCCACACGTGGTCGGCGCTGCGGTCGGAGGAGAGGGTTTAGGGTCGGCGCTGCGGTCGGAGGAGAGGGATCTGGGGGTCGGAGGGGAGTTTGGGGAGAGAGAATGAGGATTTGTCTGGGAAGCTGAAATGTCCTCACGCTGCTGTATCTTTAAGCAGAGGGAGTTCCTCAAATTCTCCGTATTCACTAGGAATACCTAATTCTAAGCCCGAAACGTGCTAATAGCATTCTTAACCCGTTGTACACAAAGAACTTGGTCGAAGTCTTTATAACAGCCTTTTAGATGGACACCTAATTAATAAACCTATGGAAAGTATACAAGAAACTAATCTGTTAGTAAACGCCAAAAAAAGAAACCTAATTCAAGGAGTTTCTGGCACTATGACGTTGCTAATTTATGCGAGTGTTCCTAATTCTGAACTTCCCAATAGAATCCGGAAGCGAGCAATGTTATGACGATGTACTTGTAAATATCTTCATAAACTTGAAAATGAACACGGAAACTGAACTAGGGGAGAGACTGTAGTCTGCTGACTTTCTAATTAAACCATAGTTATTTTAAAATGATAAATAATAAATTTGTGTGGCGTATGTTTTGCGAACTTTCTACAGTTCTGATGTATGTAAGTTCTTCGGGACCTAATGAACAAGTTAAGGGCGCAGTGTGTTAGAATTAATATAAAACTATAATCCTTGATCCTCACCATAACTTCGGAGTTTTGGTGTAATGGTTAGAGGAACTAAATTTAAGATGGTATCAGAGCAACCCAGGTTCAAATCCCACCGGCCACGAATTAAATGCGGATTTT